GTTGCAGCTCCCTATGGAGCCCTGATATTCCTAGAGCGGTGGCTTCGAGGACAAACAGGCCATGGCTGGAAAGGGAGAGCGACAACTGATAGCGGTTAGTTTGTGAAAACTGGGCCATAACCTGACCCGACTGCGGACACAGAAGTGGGCATGGACGTGCCATTAAACTCTGCGTTGTTGTTAGTGGTAGAGGATTGTATTGATCAAGTTGAATTCACTGTTCCATGTTCGTCTATCCTAGATATATTGTCGTATATCTTTGCCGCACGAGGTCTCTCCATTGGTATCTGGATTTGTAGGCTGCAGGATTGCCCAGAAACCGGTTTTTGTGGAAATCGGTATTGGCGGGCGGGGAGATCTGGATCTGGAGAGTGACAGGCTTCCCGAATATTTCGGCATTTGTCGCGATATCAATGGTCGTAATGCATGTGCAGATGCATATTTAATGCCAAGATCAATTTCAACGATGCCCATAATCCACAAAGGATACACCTCATACTGTTCATCACTTCTTCTGACGGAACTAGCAATATATTTTGTCATACAACTAGACACGACAACTATCCCCACCAGACAAATATATTCCAATCGCTGCTAGACGTTTTGGACCGTATCACTGTTAGAAGAATCCAAACGTCATCCATCCCGAAGCTAAATGTTATCCTTGTTCTCGTGTAGTATCTCAATGCCACAATGATGGTGCCAGTTTAGAGGAAACAACAAAACGACAAAATCAGCCTGGGGCCGCGGATTTCTGGATCCTTGTAATTCGGTGTCGCCATGTGCCCTAATTTCCGGTGGGATATCAAACATAATAAGTAGCAGAAGGGAGAGAGAAGGAATAACCGTGATAAAGAAGTGTTTCAATAACCCGCAGATCGATCAAATAACTCGATCAATCACTGAGCCATCACGTATCTTCTGTTTGAAACAATACACCATACCACATAGAAGACAACGTTATGGCCCACCAGATGGAAAAGCACGGGCGAGGGTCTTGCGTCAAGTTAATCGATGGTTAAAATAATTTTCAATCCGCAGGAAAAACAATCGAAAACTGCCGTCGTATGAGAGCAGAAAGGAACCCTGATGTGTATTGCACCAACCCTATATCTCGCCAAACCGAGAAAACACCATTAAAAGCAGAGTCTCTTAACCCCTGTTTAATAGGCGACTCTGGCGGAGCCATCAGTGGGTTTAACCTCTCGGTTCACATGCGTCCAAGGGGCAGCCTTGGGAACAATCATTTGCCAGTATTTGATAATTCAGCTTTCCCAACTTCTTTGTTCTTCAGGAACCATGTAGAGCTGGCTACGCAGAGCCATCTAAGGGTTTTTGGGTCGGCGAAATCCACCTCCGACTCGGCCTATTTCCTTTGATTGACAAATGAAGGACCATATCGGGAGGCAGTGGAGGAGATTAGTCGGTGACTCGGACTCTATTCCCAGGCAATGAGGAAATTAAACGACCATAAGAAATATATGCATGAAATCTGTTGGGGATGGTGGGAGCAAAGGTGTGATGCTCTTTCGAAACCGAAGATAAAAGCGAAAATTGCTGCCACGATCAGAGAACAATATGGTGAGCATGTAGCAGCCAAGAGATATTTATAAAAAAAAAAAAAAAAAAAAAAAAAAAAAAAAAAAAAAAAAGAAGAAGAAGAAGAAGATCTGTAATCACTGTGAGTCCGTGGGTCGTGGGTCGAGTTTAACCAAACATTTCAAGAATTGATTCGCCAACCTATCCTATGAAGTATTCAATATATTGTTAATAATCACGGATAATAAAGAATATAACCATTCTAGACAAATCATAATTCAAGTACAAACCAAGAAAGAATGCATATCTATTAACCAGTAGCTCAAGAAGCTATATTTTGAGCCCACTGGAGTCTCTTAATGTGCTAATCCTCGGCTCAATTATCAAGACTTTCCAATCCATCTACTGGTGGAGACTGAGTTGGTTAATAATTCAATCCCAAAAAGTGTTTAACAATTCTGGACTGACTGAACTCACCAAGGCTCCAAGACACAGAAGAGGTCATCCAACACAAGCCGATCCTTGGACGACAGTTAGTAAAATCCATCCCGGTCCTTAACATAGGCATATCCAAATAAATTTAACGAGAACCGCTAGGTATATGGGAAAGCAGAAAGCATGTAGATGCGGGGGACCCCACACGACGTCATTAGATATCGAACCCGTTGCGGTAATGTGGATGTACCAATGGGCCGCTAATGAAGCGGAGTCCCCTAGCCAATGTGAACCAAGCATTCCGCGGAGGTTGTGAAGATATAACTAAGATGGAAAAGGAGTCAACTGCGATTGTTTTGATACTACCTTGGATGAGATATTATTGCTGATATGCATCTGCCACACAAATGAAGTTCATCTCTTGCTTACTCCTTATATCTCCCCCCACAGAAAAGGGTAAGCAATGCAACATTCCATTTTCTTGAAAGACGATGCCTGCCTGTACCATTGGTTCTATAATTCATGTTCTTTTGATTTCTTCGTCGTCTTTCTCTTGGTTTCAATCACGAGAGCAAGAAATGCTGAGCGAGAACGCAGCCAAGAAATGGGAACTTACCTCCGGCATTTCTCTCGAGGCAATACCGTTTCCTCTTTATTCTTTTCACAGCATCTAGTGAGGAGCGAAAAACTCTAGGTCATTTAGGATTTGAAAACAATTCCAGTGCCACTCTGCACGACCGGCGGAAGGGGGGGGGGAGGGGTTGTTTGTCTTGAGACATTGCTGAACGACGCTGTATCAGCAATGTTCAAATCTTCAACCACAACACCGCTGCTATGTGTGGGACGCAGTCTAGGGAATGGGATTGACCTTCGGCAGGTTCTCCTGCTTTGGGTTCCATCGGCTGACACGATACACTCTGAAAGCATTTGGCTCTCGTATTCCCGGATTCCAAGACTCAGAAAGCGTTCCTTGGGCGGTTTCTCCCATTCTTTACGCCCAAATCCCCCCTTTCTCATACTACACTGGCTATTTTAAGATCTTCGACATGCCGCTCTAGCACTTTGTAACCGTTTCATGCTGTAGAGTCAACCATGCGCTCTGCATTCATTGTTCCAATAATTGATATCCTTAAAGGTCGTCATTAGTTTGAGAACATGCAACTTCATCCCAAAACCATAGATTAAGAGTTTGTTGCAAAGCTTGTCGAACAAAATGTATCTCTCTTCGCGCCCAAGACTGCTTGCACGTCTGAGGGATTTTAGCAGTTTGGCAAATTATTAAACAAAAACATTGTAAACAGGCAAATAGATCTTATCATATTAAAAAATCTTTTAAGATATCAATCTTCGTCATTCCTTTCAAGTTTTCACCGCTTCGCAGAACCGTAGCTCATGCTTTATAGAGCATGAATTTCAATTCAGGCCGGAACATAATTGATCCGGCATATGAGCTAAACGACCCACTATTTAATCCATTTGGCGAAAAAATACATCATACACGTCCTGCTCGCGGAATCGATCAGGTAGAGTAGCTCGGAGTACCGCCATGACTGGAGGATTGTACTACTTTGAGATAATCCGGAGGATTTACGTCATTGCAAAAGGAACTCGGGACAAAACTTGACTAACTATATTCGGTAACACCGCGTGGGATATGGAGATTTGTACTGTATGTTGATATATTTTCATAGATATGTATTGCTAATTCATTCAGACAGACGCTGACCAAAAAAAACATCATTTTGTAGTGGTGTTTGTTACATGTGGGAAAAAATCAATTAAAAAAGAGATCTATGAACAAAATGTAATTTGCAACCAAAATTATATATATATATATATCCACAAGAAATAGGAAGCATAAATCGACCAACCTGATCGCATATTCCATATATATCATAAAAAGCAACTTCGGGGTTTAGAGCCGACATATAGATAGACACTTATATCACAATCAAATTGCCAATTGGGACCCCCTGAGACGTGATCGTATATCGTCTTCGGAGACCTACACCCACGGCATGTTTAAAGTAGTTATATGTCTCGTCACCGCCACCAACAAGAACCACGCTTAACGGGCTGGGGCGTGGCATTCCACCGGCCACAGTCTGTATTTCGTCGAGCAGCGGGCGGATGAGGTGTGGCTCCTCAGATTCCATGATGAAGGTGGGAGATGCGGTGTTTTGACCCATATCTGAGGCGGATGATAGGGAGGAAGAGGTGGGAAGTGGGTATGGGTGGTCTCCTGGTTGTGGATAAGAGACCATAATTACGAGCTTTAGGGAGGCACGTGAAGGGCGGAAGGAAGGGATATTTTTCAATTTATCAGAAAAGGTACATCCACCGCGTTTTATGACGATGACATTATGGGTTCTGGGAACTGAGGAGGGGAGACGATGGTTGCAAAGTTCATCTGCAAGGTAGATAGAGGGCCATGGAAGGCGATTAAGAAACTTCTTGCCCTTGTTGGATTTTGACATAGATACTGCCGAGATGATGGCTTCTTCGACGTCGGGTAGGGCAGTTGAGCCTATGCCGGTGGAGGTGATTGCGGGAACACACATGCGGATGGAAGGTTGCCGGAGTGCAGAGGGCTTTGGCGTAGATGAGTCGGAATCATTGCGAAGAAGGGAAGCAACCTGATTCATAAAAGAGGCGAAGGCTAATTTCATATTGGATGCGTCCAAGGGGATTTGAAGATCATCCAACTCATTGATGAGGGCTTGGCGGCTTATGGCGGCAGTAAGAATTGAAGATGTATTGCCATTGTCTGCGATTTCTGGTTTAAGATCCAAGACAATGTCTAATAGAGTCGAATCCTGCACCCGTTTGAAGTTGGGATCATCAGAGTTCAGGATATCGGTTACCTCTTTCGAGATGTAAACCTTCTCATCCTTTCCAAGAGGGACATTGTTAATAACCTGGACTCGAAAGCCTTCTGTGCTCGCAGGCAATCCATTTATATATAACGGAGCATCCTGGATCATGCCCAGTCGAAGCCCGCCAATAGATTTCACAAGGATCCCATCTTGAACTCTTTCTAGAGATCCAGGGGTAAAAATCGTATTGCCCAGCAGCGGGAACGTAAGGTCAAGAGTTGGCCTAACAGCCATCGGTGCACTCGTCGCACCTGGTGGGATGACCTCCAGCGGTAAAGTCCACGGGAAGTACGTGTAGTTTGAGGGTGATATTAAATCAGACATTGAGATGCTTGGATGATCGACAACATATTCCACGATTGGGGAATCAACTTTCGGTCGCAAGGGCATAAGATGTAATCTAGCAAGGCTCGCGGCGTGAAAAACATCGGGTCGCGAAACAACAGAGGATGCACCAAACGGCAGAGATAGAGCAGGTACCGAACAGGTTTCTCGGCTTGCGTTCCATCGTGTATCACTAGCCGGGGTCTTTACTAGCTTAGTCGGTTTCCTAGTCGATTTCCTCGTTGACTTCGGAATGATAAGGGGGTGGCCTTCGGTGCTGAAAACAAACGGAGCATCAAGGTCATTTAGAGGATGAGAAGGATTAAAAAGTAGGAACAGATATTTGGTAGTTTCTCCAAGGAAGAAGCT